AAGAAAAAAGCCGGAAGTGGCGCTGTGGCTCAAGTGGTAGAGTGCTAGCCTTGAGCTGAAGAGCTGAGGGACAGCGCTCAGGCCCAGAGTTCAGGCCCCACGACCAGACCCCAAAAAATAAATAAATAAATTTTTTTTAAAAAATAACCAACACACACTGGGCTGGGAAGTTGGCTCAGTGGTAGAGTGCTTGCCTTGCATGCCTGAGGCCCTAGGTTCGATTCCTCAGCACCACATAAGCAAAAAGAAAAAAGCTGGAAGTGGCGCTGTGGCTCAAGCAGTAGAGCACTAGCCTTGAGCTGAAGAGCTGAGGGACAGTGCCCAGGCCCAGAGTTCAGGCCCCACGACCGGACCCCCCAAAAAAATAAAATAAAATAAAATAATAACCAACACACTGTCCTAGCAAGTATGAGGCCCTGAGTTCAATCCCCAGCACAAAAAAATTAAATCATAATACTCAACACAAAAAAGGGCTAGAAGCATGAATTGGCAGTAGAACACCTGCCCATCACGTGGAAGGCCCTGAGTTTAAATCCCAATACTACAAAACACACACACACAAAAAAAAAACAGAAACAACATGTATGTCTATCATGGAAAGATGTACTAGTTTGATGGAGACCTAAAACATAAAGAAGATTAGAAAGATCTTCTAGCCTAGCACCATTGTCAAGCCTATAATCCTAGCTCAGGAGATGAGATCTTGAAGACTATGATTTGAGGCCAGGATGGGCCCAGCACTGGCACTAAACAATAAATGACATGAAAGTGCTAGAACATGTGAGGGTGACAATGATTGATAATCACCTGTGACATCAGTGACTGAACTACCCCTCCTTACCCAGCATGAACCAGCATGTATGAGAGAAACCTCCAGGCTTCCTCCCTCTTCTCAGGACGGTAGGTAAAGGGACTTTCCAGTATGCCAGTGTCCAAGGTGATCCACTGTTTCTGAGGCTTCCACACCGCATAGTAAATAAACACTGCCAGCTGTGAGGGAGGAGCAGGCATGAATGTTAACCACACCTTGCCCATTAAAGCACACAGCAGTGGGGTATTGAAGTGATTAGCCACAACACAGACTGGGCTTACAAGATGAACACAACTAGATTTCTCCACCCACTGTGACCACAGCCTCCTTTCTCCCTGATTGGGAGCATCAATAGATCATAATGTAAAAAAAAAAAAAAAAAAAAAGAGGGTGGAAATGTGGCTTGATGGTAGAGTGCTTGCCTCGCATGCATGAAGCCCTGGTTTCAATTCCTCAGTACCACATAAATAGAAAAAGCAGGAAGTGCTGCTGTGACTCAAGTAGCAGAGTGCTAGCTAGCCTTGAGCAAAAGAAGCTCAGGGATAGTGCCTAGGCCCTGAGTTCAAGCCTCAGGACTGGCAAAAAAAAAAAAAAAAAAAAAAAAACAACCTGAATCAGGCACAGGTGGCTTACACCTATAATCTTAGCTACTCAGAAGGTTGAGTCAGCCTTAGCGAGAATGTCTCTTGGCAAGAAAATCTCTGAGACTCATCTCCAATTAACCACTGAAAAGCCAGAAGTGGGAGTTAAGGCTCCCTGAGTACAAATCCCAATACTAGCACCAAAATAAATAAATAAAAATAAAAGCCTTGAATGAATCACCTCTCCTGTTCTTTGATACCTTGCTGTCTAGCACTGGGTTCTCTATCACCCTCCTCCTGCACTCACACTCACACTCACACAGAAAAGTAGCAACACTCCCATAACCAAATGATGGCCAGTGTCCCAAAGACAACATCAGACGTCCTTCACTCGGTGATACGATAAGATGTGCACTTCACCAGTGCTGTCCTTGCCCTGAACCCTTAACTCCAATCTAATTATGAGAAAAAGACATGGGATAAACTCAGACTGGGAGACATTCTCCAGATACCTGGGCCTCATAACCTCCAAGGCTGGGAAAATCCACTGAGAAGTGGTCATTAGTCAGAGGAGGTTGGGGAGACAGGACAACTAAATGTAGCATGAAACTCTGGATTTGAGGGAACTAGAGGAAGAGAAAGAGGACACTAGTGGGAAAAGTGGTAAAATCCAAGTAGTCTGGGCACTATTTAGTTAATAACCCGGGTTAGAGCTGGAGGCATGGTTCAAATGGTAAAGGGCCCACCTAACAAGCTTGAAGTTCTGAATTCAAACCCATGACCTTCAGAGACAGACAGAGAGAGAAAAAAGGGGGAAAAAAAGAAATGTTTCCATTAGGAAAAGAGAATTTTACCAGCAGATAACCTTAGTTTAGATCTGCCACTCTTTCTACCAACTTGCCTTATAGATTTTTTTTTTTGGGGGGGGGCCCGGTCGTGGGGCCTGAACTCTGGGCCTGGGCACTATCCTTCAGCTCTTCAGCTCAAGGCTAGTGCTCTACTACTTGAGCCACAGCGCCACTTCCGGCTTTGTTCTTTTTGCTTATGTGGTACTGAGGAATCGAACCCAGGGCCTCAGGCATGCAAGGCAAGCGCTCTACCACTGAGCCACCATCCCAGCCCCCCTTATAGATTTTTGACTTAGACACCTATATAAATCATTGGAGCTCCTTCATTCACACCCTATTGTTTCTGAGTTTCTAGAGAACTCTGCTAATATCATCCCTGATAAGGAAGCTCCTAAAGCCATACCTCACAGGTAGGCACACATTGCCAATTCCTCCCTAAGACCTCACCTTATCGGAGGATGAGCTTGGTATCTGAGGAAGCTTGATGAATGCTAGCATACTCCTTAAGGAGTACCTCTGGGGAGTCCTTTAATCTCCCTGAACCTTGCATTCTTTTCTGGAGCTCAAGAGAACTGAGCAGAAGCCAGGTGCTGGAGAATCATGCCTGTAATCTTAGCTACTCAAGAGGCTGAGATCTGACAATGATTGTTCAGAGCCAATTAAGAAAGTGAGACTTTTTTTTTTTTTTTTGGTCCGTCATAGAGCTTGAACTCTGGGCCTAGGCGCTATCCCTGAGCACTTCAGCTCAAGGTGAGCACTCTACCACTTGAGCCACAATTCCACCTCTGGTTTTCTATTGGTTTATTGGAGAGAAGAGTCTCATGGACTTTTTTTTTGGGGGGGGAGTCTGGTCATGGGCCTGAACTCTGAGCCTGGGTGCTGTCCCTCAGCTCTTCAGCTCAAGACTAGCGCTCTACCACTTGAGCCACAGAGCCACTTCCGGCTTTTTTTTTTCCTGCTTATGTGGTGCTAAGGAATCAAACCCAGGGCCTCATGCATGCAAGGTAAGTGCTCTACCACTGAGCCACTTTCCCAGCCCTCATGGGCTTTCTTGCCTGGGCTGGCTTTGAACCTTGATCCTCAGATCTCAGCCTCCTGAGTAGCTAGGGTTATAGGTGTGAGCCACCAGCGCCCAGCTTGAGAGTCTTATTTTCAAACAATCAGCAAAAAGCCAGAAGAAGAGACATGGCTCAAGTGGTAAAAAGCAAAAAGCCAAAGAAGAATGTTAAGACCCTGAGTTAAACAAATCCCCATGTTGCCTGTTAGGTCCAAATAGCCAGGTGTCCTGAGCTTAAGACCCTAGGCCAGTGCCTTGACTTAAGATCACTCCCGCCTTACCCTCTCTCCTTGCCTGGCTGTAACCCATTTGGCTGGCAACAGACCAGGGCTTTGACAGACACCCCTGTCTTCCTCCCTCCATCTCTTTGGTTGTGATCCATTTTCCTGTTATCTATGTTCCACCATTGTTCCCTCCCTTCCTCCAGCAGCAACCCATTTCACAGGTTTCTATGTCTCACCATTAGTTACTTTTGTACCAAGCCCTACCAGAGAACTCCAGCATTCCCACAATCCCACTATAAAATGTCATAGCCAGTACATGGGGATGAGGCTCTAGCTCTAGGTGGTCACTCCCCTCCACAGACTTTCTCCCAAAGAAACCTGTGCTGGTATTGAGGCATCTCGTTGTCTAGTCTCTGTGTCTTTTGAATCTAATATTGCCCAAAGTGGACATCCTTGGAGAATCCTACTTTTTCCCCTCTGAAATTCAAGACAGCCTGTGACTGTTCTAAACATAAACCTACAGTAACTTTACCAGTCAATCTAAGTTGGTTCACAAGATAAAACCAAGTTGCAACTCCATGGTTCCATGATTTTTTTTTTCTCTTTCTCTCTCTCCTTCCTTCCTTTCTTTCTCTCTCTTTCTCTCCCTCCCTCTCTCTCCCTTTCTTCCTTTCTTTTTCTTTTTTTCTTGTCAGTTGTGGTGGCTGAACTCTAGGCCTGGGCACTGTCCCTCAGCTTTCCAGCTCAAGGCTAAAGCCCTACCACTTGAGCCACAGCACCACTTCTGGCTTTTTCTGCTTATGTGGTATTGAGGAATTGAACCCAGGACCACATGGATACGAGGCAAGCACTCTACCACTGAGCCAACCTCCCAGCCCACTCTTTCTCTTTCTGCTGTGTTTTCTGGAGTTTGAACTCAGGGCTTGGGTGGTCTCTAAGCTTCTTTGCTCAAGGCCAGTGCTCTACCACTTGAGCCACAGCTCCACTTCCAGCTTCTTTTGGTGATTAATTGAATATTAAAGTCTCATGGACTTTCCTGCCCTGGCTGGATTCCAACTGTGATCCTTAGATCTATACCTCCTGAGTGGCTAGGATTACAAGCACAGGCCACAGGTGCTGGCAGGTTCTTTGGTGTCTAAGGACACTAAGGACCCTATCCGCTGAAATGAATAAAGGCCACTGAAATAATCACTGCTGAATAGGAGCTTTGTATAAAGAATGAAGCCTAAGGCTTGGTTGACAATGACCAGAGAAAAGGCAGCTGGGAAAGGATCCCATGGAAGGGGTGGGGAGGAGGGTAGATGTGTTTTGAACTTATTCCTGTAGACCTTTATTTGTTGCCTATACTAGAGCTTTTTGTTGTTGTTGTTAGTCCTGGGGCTCGAACTCAGGGCCTGGACTTCTTTTGCTCAAGGCTAACACTCTACCACTTGAACCACAGTGCCACTTCTGAACTTTTCTGTTTATGTGGTACTGAAGAATCGAACCCAGGTCCTCATGCACGCTAGGCAAGCACTCTACTCCTAAGCCACATTCCCAACCCCAATACTAGAGCTTTAACTCAGGGTCTTGAACTCTTGCTTGGCTTTTTCTGCTCACAGCTGGTACTCCACCACCTGAGCCACAGCTCTACTTCTGGCTTTTTGCTGGTTAATTGGAAATAAGAGCCTCAGGAACTTTTCTGCTTGGGCTGGCTTCAAACTGGAATGCTCAAATCTCAGCCTCTGGAGCAGCTAGGATGATAGGCATGAGCCAGCAGCCCCTGCTGGGAGCTCTTTCACATACCCAGTCTCTTCTCTGCCTTGGTCCCTCTCGTCCTTCTGCACCCACTGCTTCCTGTTGGAATGTAGGCTAGTGCCTACTGCCAGTGTTTACCTCAGCCAAGCTGATGGAGATGATGAACAGTGGAGGTGGGAGGCAGTTGGCCCTCTCCAGGTAGGTTCTTCGGACATGTTCAGGAAGCATCCACTTGGAAACAATCCTATGGACTTTTCTGCTCTTGGGGAGATCTTTACCCCCCAGACCCTCTCTCATTTTCTCTTCCTCCAGCTCTTCTTTCCTTTCCCTCTCCATATTCAGAGTCACATTCTCCATCTCCAAATCCTGAGTAGCAGCCATGATGCTGGGTTCTTCCTCCACCTGAAAAGCAAAAAGGGTTGGCACTTTGATCTGCAGGCAATGGTTCTTTCTTGAGTTCTCTAGCACTGAGAGGCCACTGCTAGGAGTCCAGGTCTTTCCTGGGTATAGATAGAAGGTAGATGAAGATGGAAAAAAATCATATAGAACTCCTAATTGGCCTCAATTTGAGTTTTCCCTGTATTGTTTTACATTTTATAGCAGAGTCTGGACTAGTTAATTTTTTTTTTCAATCATGGGGCTTGAATTCAGAGGAAAGGCATTGTCCCTGAGCTTTAGGCTAGTACCCTACCTCTTTGAGCCACAGCTTCTGGTTTTCAGGTAGTTAATTGGAGATAAGAGTCTCACGGACTTTCCTGTCCTGACTGGCTTTGAACCACAATCCCCAGATCTCAGCTTCCTGAGTAGCTAGGATTGCAGGCATAAGCCACCAGCATCCAACTTGGATTGTTTCAATTTTTAAAAATAAATTTTAGAAGCTGGGGAATGTGGCTTAGTGGTAGAGTGCTTGCCTAGCATGCATGAAGCCATGGGTTCAATTCCTCAGGTAAACAGAAAAAGCTTGAAGTGGTGCTGTGGTTCAAATGATAGAATGCTAGCCCTGAGCAAAAGAAGCTCAGGGACAGTGCCCAGGCCCTGAGTTCAAGCACAGGACTGATAAAAAAAATAATGATTATATTATTGACACGTACAAAGTGGTTTCATTGTGGTATCTCTGTGCATGTGCGCAGTATATCCCCTCACCCTCATTCCCTCGTCTCTTTTGCCCTCCTCCTTCCCAACACAATAGGCTTCATTGTTCTATTGTTCTTTTTTCTTTTTCTTTTTGTTTATTTTTTTCAAGTCCTGAGGCTTGAACTCAGGGCCTGGGCACTGTCTCTGAGATTGTTTTGCTCAAGGCTAGCACTCTACAACTTGAGCCACAGCACCACTACTGGCTTTTTCTGTGTATGTGATACTGAGGAATCAAACTCAGAGCTTCATGCATGCTAGGCAAGCACTCTACCACTAAGCCTCATTCCCAGCACTCATTGTTCTATTTTTATACATGCATATAAGTACTTTAATCATAGTCACCCTCCAACACTCTCTCCCATTACCCTCCCTCTTGTAATTGTTTTTAAAAGCATGGAATCTAGTACTCCTATGTCTTAGGCATGTAATAAATTTTGTGTATTCTTTTCCCTAAGAAGTAAATTTCAAAAGGAAGTGTTAGGCATAGTGGTACACACTGTAATCCCAGAACTTGGCAGAAGAAGTAGAAGGATTGAGACTTTAAGGCTACTCTGGGTTACATACATAATGAGACCCTGTCTCAAATAAATAATAATAAAACTTTTAATGTAAAACTAAAAAGTAAAAAGCATGTGGTATGAAGCCGGGTGACTAGAATTAAAACACAGTACTAACCAGGCATAAAGGCCCTTCCTCTACTTCTAGGAAACATTCGAAAACCTGCCCATCTGAAAACAACAACAACAAGACATTCAGACTGTCTGAGTCTCAAATTACCCCCTTTATATTAAGCATTAAACTAGGGCTTTGCACTTGCTAGGTAGGTATATTAGCATATGACTATGCCTACAGCCCCCTTTTTCACAGGCTTTAACTTTCCTAACTCTTCTCCAGGTGGCTGGGGATGCCAGACACATATACCACAGTGCCCAACCATTGGTGGAAATGGATTCTCTCAAACTTTTATTCATTGCTGCCCTCAAACCTCAATCCCCCAATCCCTACATCCCAAGTAGCTACGATTGAGTAGATTTGAGCCATCATACTCAGTTTCAAATTACTTTTCTTAAAAATTACAGTTAGTGTCGGGAGCCAAAAGCTGAGTCTCTCAACATAATAGGCTTGACTATCTCACTGGAACATCTTGAGGCTGAGTTTACAGAATCCGACCCTCATCCTGCCCTAAATAAACATCCTGCAACTGCTAACCACCACCCTTTCCTCCTGCCCTAAGTAAACAACCTGCACTGCTATGGCCAATGAAAAAGCTTCCTTAACGGCCAATGAAAAAAGCTTCCTTATTCCAAGCATATAAATACCGCTGTGTGAAAAATAAAAATTTGCAGCTTGATCAGAACCCTTGTCTTGCTGTCATTCTTTGTGTCTCTTGTCCCTTCATTCCTTCTAGCTTAGGTTCACTGCCCTCGCTGACGTCCTGCGGGTCAGGACAACTGGCGCCCAATGTGGGGCACGAGCCTCTGACTAAGGAAGGAACGCCGTCCTCCGGGAAATCTTGGCCAAGTACAGTTCGAGATCGCCTCGACAGACCCCACCGAGAGATAGATCCAGGAGGAGAGTGGGGCCGGCACAAGGTAAGTGACCCACCATGGGACAAGCAATGTCGTCATAGGATCTATTTCTGTCAGACCTCAAGGAGGCCTTCAAGACACGGGGAATGGGGGTTAAGAAAAAGGATTTAGAATTATTTTTCTCAAGGACTTGTGTCCTTGGTTCCCCCTTGAAGGAACCATAGATGCAAAAAGATGGCAAAGAGTAGGAGATTGTTTAAGAACAAGCAGCCCCAAGGTGGCTGCCAGAATGCTTGATAAAACAGGTTAATGGCTTATCACAACCCAGGGGAAACCTTCCCCCTGAGGATGATTCCTTTTCTCTTACAGATGCAGCTAGAACTCCAGATGTGGACCCTCCTGTTGTTTGAATTTATTAAATAACAGATTAATCTCTTGGCTTCTAAGCCCATACAGGTTCATCACCTTGATATGGCAGACCAAGGCATTGAGATCTAGGACTTACCCCAGGCTTTTAATTAGTGTTTTGCCACGAGCTTGTTCCAGTGGGAACCCCCCCCCCACCACCCATATTCTTTTTTCTTTTTAGAAAACCCTTCTATAACTCCTGACCATTCAACGGGCAAGACCTATTGCCATAAGGGATAGGTTCGCCCCTCCTCCAATAGGCCCCTCCACTTGGGGGAGGATGCACCTATGGGAGGAAGAAAAAATGCTCAAATCAAGGGTGCAGGTAAGACTGCAGGGGGATGGATCCGCGAGATCCCAAAACCCAAGACCCCTGAGTGGCAAGCTCTGGTGCGTGACGATTGGCATGCATACCCACAAGCCATCTCCTCAAAAAACATGCCAAGGCCTGTTAAATTCCCCACCCCGAGTGAGGACGCTTGCTCAGGAGCAGAGAAAAACCCTGGGCCCTTAGAGGAACAGAGCCTCTGTCACCCCCTTAAAAAGAGCAGCCAACAACTGATTGTCAATTTTCTAAATAAGAAAGGGGGATATGTCGGGAGCCAAAAGTCGAGTCTCTCTACATGATAGGCTTGACTATCTCACTGGAACATCTTGAGGCTGAGTTTACAGAATCCGACCCTCATCCTGCCCTAAGTAAACATCCTGCAACTGCTAATGACCACCCTTTCCTCCTGCCCTAAGTAAACATCCTGCACTGCTATGGCCAATGAAAAAGCTTCCTTAACGGCCAATGAAAAAAGCTTCCTTATTCCAAGCATATAAATACCCCTGTGTGAAAAATAAAAATTTGCAGCTTGATCAGAACCCTTGTCTTGCTGTCATTCTTCGTGTCTCTTGTCCCTTCATTCCTTCTAGCTTAGGTTCACTGCCCTCATTGACGTCCTGCCGGTCGGACAAGTTAGCAGCCAGTGCTAGTGGCTCACGCCTATAATCCTAGCTATTCAGGAGACTGAGATCTGAGGATAGCAGTTCAAAGCCAGCCCAGGAAGGAAAGTCAGTGAGACTTATCTCCAATTAACCACCAGAAAACCAGAAGTGGCACTGTGGCTCAAGTGGTAGAGCACTCGCCTTGAGCTGAAGAGCTCAGTGACAGCACCCAGGCCCAGAGTTCAAGCCCCATGACTGATTAAAAAAAAATTATGGTAAAAACCAGGTGCTGGTGACTCATGTCTGTACAAATCCTAACTAGTTAGAAGGATAGGAGTTGAAGATTGAGGTTAATCAAAAAGCCAGAAGTGGGGCTATTGTTCAAGTATTAGAGTGCTAGCCTTGACCAAAAATGCTCAGGGACAGCACTCAGGCCCTGAGTTCAAGCCCCAGGAACACACACACACACACACACACTATAGTAAAATACAAAGAACATGAAATTGACCATTTTAACCATTTAACAGTGGCATTGCGTATATTTATTGTGTTGTGCAACCGCTACTACCATCTAGTTCCAAACCTTTATCATCACCTTCCACGTACCCCAGACATATAAAATAGTCATCCCCCAAACCCTCTTCACCATGCCTTGGCACTCACTAATCTGCTTCCTGTCTCTGTGGATTTATCTATTCTGGACATTACATATAAATGGAATTATACGACATGTGGCTTTTGTGTCTGACATCTCTCAGTTAACATAGTGTTTTCAGGCACTGATAGCTCATGCCTATAATTCTAACTATGTCAGAGGTAGAAATCAGGAGATTACATTTGGAGGCCAGCCTGGGCAAAAAGTCCAGATCCTTTTCTCATTCTGCAGCTGGGCACAGTGGCAAGCACCAACAGGTCCCAAGCAACATGCAAGGCTGAGATTGGAGGATCACAGTGCCAGACCAGCCCAGGCAGAAAAGCCCAATCTCCAATACTCGGTCTCCATGGAAAGGAAGCTGGACACAGTAATATTTGTGTCTAATCCCAGCAATAACAGAAAGCCTAAAGAAGGGGGATCATAGCTCAGGCACATATCCAGGGAAGAAGGAAGAGCCTATTTCAAAAGAGCCACTTTGTGGAAAATGAACTATACAATTTGTGCATGAGGATGAGAGGGAAAAACTGGGAGAGAGCAAGGGAAAGGGTGATATCCAAATAAAATGTATTCATTACCTGACTTATGAAACAGTAACGCCTCTGTATATACCTTTATAATAACAATTTTTAAATACTTTAAAAAGTAGCTACTGATAGGGCTGGGAATGTGGCTTAGTGGTAGAGTGCTTGCCTAGCATACATGAAGCCCTGGGTTTGATTCCTCAGTCCACATAAACAGAAAAAGCC